AATTAACAAAAGCAAGCAGCAAAAAAAATATATTTTAAAAGCTTTATCATAAAACAAAATGCAACTCAAAATCAGTGCATACCTCTTGGCGTATTTGGAAAAAAGTTTATATTGTTAGTGCAATGTGGAACCTAATATATAAACACCATATAAAATGAAATCAATGTCATATTTATTTTTATTCAACACATGCACGTTTGTCAAGATTGTAATTGTAGTTTGAAGTTTTAAATGGGAAAGAAAAGGACAAAAATTATGAATTTAGGTCTACTTTTTTTCCAACACTGCCAACCTTTTTCACCAAACAGAAATGAAGAAAGACTCTATTTTGGAATCTCGTCAATAAACTACATTAATTCCCTTTAGATTCTTGTTATATATATTCTCTCAACTTGTAATAACTACTTCACAAAAAAGCGTTTATAACCAAATGACTCTTGTAATGTCAATGAGAATTTTGTCTTCAATGAGAATTTTTTTAAAGCCTTACATCGCATTTGTAAACAAAATAAATATGTCAATTTTGAAAATAAAATTATATGTCAATTTTGCCATATCAATGTACGTCTGTTGAAATCAACATAGAGTTCGTAGTATTTACGCACGAGCTGCGAAATTTGGGACGTATATTATCTGAGTGTTTCGTAAAATGGGATATATTGGTCCTAATATTGATGTAGACCCCATATAACAGTACCGCCCGATTTTACTATTTTTAATCTCATTTCCGAATTTTGTGGGTGGAAAACATATTTGCAGAAAAATTGCCAATTTAAGGTATTTAGATTATCATTAAATGGTTTTCCATATGAAATTGCTTTAACTTTCTATTTTGTATAACTTAACTTCTTTAATAATGTATATAAAACTTCTTCGTAAAAAATGTTCAATATAAGTCCTTATGAACCCATGTTTTGTGCACATTATTACACGCTTTACCACACTGCGTACAGGGTACTATGTCTCCCATACTAAATTAAGTCTAGAATGGTGTGTGTTAGGTTTCCTGGAAATCGCTTCAGATTTAGATATAGCTCCCATATACATTTTCGTCCAATTTTTAGAAAATTGTGCACCAAATAGTCAAATTTTCGTCCAATTTTAAGTGAATGGGGCAGCATAATTCTATCCCATTGCACAAAAAACAACTCTAAAACTGTAGTAATAAAATGGAATTGGGCATAGGATAACGAGGACATGTGTGCGGATTAATGTAGCTAATATATAGGGGCTATGCCTAAACTTGAATATAGCTCATCTTCAAACTTGACCTATGCAAAATTTTTGGAGATCTATCTCAATTCGTTTAGAGGCAAGAGTGATTAGAACAGACAGACATCGTCATAGAATTTTACGCTGATCGAGAATATATATACTTTATAGAGTCGGAAATTACTTCGATGAGTTATAAACGGAAAATAAACTTAATATACCCTCCATACTATGGTGGAGGGTATAAAAAGCTACAAATGTACCCGGCTATTGATTGTTGGGTTAAGTCGGTTCACATATAGACACAGATCAAATATTTTATTTAGTACATTTTCATGCGATGTTGGTTAGGATGCATCTCTTGAATATAGCCAAAGTGGTAAAGGTTGTCATATATTCGGCCCCATTCGACTTTGCTACATTCCTTACTGGTTTGCATTGAAGTATAATCATTATCATAACATAATATAATAATTCCGGAGTTATTAAGGTAATATTACCCAACCATCTGAGAATATGGTATGTCAAAGAACAACCTTTTCGGTTGGAGAATACGCATAAGACTTGCAAAATTCCGAAAATTTGGCGGAACTTTTTTATGGGTGTATTTCAAGGTATAGGCCTCTATCTATCATTTTATGCAAAGATTTGGTCATACCCATGTTATCATGTCTTGATTTGATGAAATAGGTGATGGTTGAATGTTGTTTTCATACCCCTCACCACACTGTGGTACAGGATATTATGTCTTTGCGCATATGTTTTTAACAAGCAAAAGCAAACGAAATAGAGACATCGTTCGTTTTGAGAATATGCATAGAATCACATTCTGATTCTGATTTATGCATGTCCGACAGTCTATGTATTTTTGTGAACAAATTCCAGACCGCATTAAAGATCCGATTATGATGTCATAAAAGAGTGGGTTTGCCGTTACCAGTAAACCCACTCTCTTATGTCTTTGCAAAATCTGAAGTAAATACTTCTCATATAACTAAACAAATCTAAAAATAGAAGACATGATTTGAAATAAAGATTATTAAGAGTAATGAATTTATATATTTTTGTGACCTTAATGAATTTAAAATATTCGCCCATGTGCTGTATTTAGAGTTTGCTCGAATGTGAAACATTTTCCCAAATTTGGTGTGCTCCATTCCGAATTCCCAAAAAAATATTGGGAATATAATTCGAGCACATATAGCCTTGTGGATTGAAAACGAAATGAGATCGTACGTGTTTTTCTGAGCACACACAAGTTGAAAAAGAACGCTGAAGTAATATTTAACGTGTTTTTACAATATTTATTTAAAAAATTCAGTATTTACATTAGTTTTTATAGTAAAATTAAAGAAAATAAAAAAGGGCTCCTTTTATCAAAAACAACGCGTAACATTTTTGAGATCAATCTGGCAACTCAACCACCATATGATCAAAATAAAAATAGAATTTATAAAAAAATTACTTTTAAGATTTCCAATAGTCCTTTTAATAATGTTTCTTGCAGATGTGTGCACTTTATTATATCGATGTTGCTTCACTTGTTTATAGGGCGTCAAAATTTTTTTCTAAAGCCTAACCACTGTTCCTAGAAGCCAATTATTTTGCATGCCATTTTCTCTTTGTTAATGCTGCCTAGCTGCACTCATATGCCAAATAAAAGCATCATGGCTGGATCCTGGTCTGCAGCTGTCCACATATTTTACACCTTGTTGTTAGATCAACACTTATAATTAAATCATTTGCCACTACCCTCTGAAACCCACCAAGAGGCTTTAGGGAATGGCACCCTTGTGTATGAAAGGACCCACTTCTCTCAAAATATCCATAAATGCTATTTTAACACGTTCCAGTATCATTAGACTTTTCCTGGTAGAAATCAGGGCAATTAATAAGCCAGCAGGCATATTTTTTCTTAATTTTGTTGGTAAACAAATTGCAAATTCCAATGAAACATATGTTTTTTTATTGAACACATTTCGTAACATATTGAACACAGCTATGCTTTCGAGCCGCACTTTCGCTCGAAATTAAGCACACCATTTTGCACATCATGGGAATTTAAAAAAGTATGGGAATTCAAAAACTCTCGGAACATGTCACATGGGCGATTGTCTTTAGTTTTATACATTTTTATACCCACCACCATAGTATGGTGGCCATTCCGTTTGTAACTCATCGATCAGACGATCCGTCCGTCTGTTATAATCATTCTATCTTCTGAACGAATTAAGATAGGGTGCTGCAATTTTGCATAGGTTTGTCTTTTGTCTGCTGGCAGGTCAAGTTCGAAGATGGGATATATCGGTCCACGTTTAGGCATAGCTCCCATATAAGGGTACCCCCCAATTTTCGGTATTTTGGCATTCTTGAGCGCGTTTTTCAACCGAATTTGCTGAAATTTGGTACATTGGGTTCCTGTTTGGAACCAAATAGCTCCACTAAAAATTATAAATATAGGTCCATACTTTCTGGTAGCCCCCATATAAGGGTACCTCCCAACTTTCAGTTTTTGGGGGGTTTGACCGAATTTTTTCACCGAATCGGCTGTAATTTTGTAATTTGAGTTCTTATTGGGTAGCAAATCTCTCTACAAAAAAATTATAAATATAGGTTAATTTTTTCGAGTAGCCCCCATAAAAGGGTACCCCCAATATTCTATATTTTGGGGTTCTTAAACGCGTTTTTCAACCGAATTCGCTCAAATTTGGTACAATGGGTTCCTATTGGATACCAGTTTTCTCCACTACAAATTATAAGTATAGGTCCCTATATAATGGTACCTCCCATTTTCAGTTTTTGGGGGGGTTTGACCGAATTTTTTCACCGAATCGGCTGTAATTTAGTACTTTGAGTTCTTATTGGAGCAAATTTCTCCACAAAAAAAAAAAAATTATAAATATAGGTCCATTTGTTCGGGTAGCCCCCATATAAAGGGACCCCCAATGTTCAGTATTTTGGGGTTCTTAAGCGCATTTTTCAACCGAATTCGGCAGACTTTTGGGCATCTCCTTAATATAGTTATACCTCCTGAAGGAAAGAATGGATATAAAAAATTAAAATATTGGGTTCAAAATTGACATATACCAGTCACTAATTAGGCATAGCCCTCATATAATGCTCCCCCAATATTCGCTACTTCCTACACTATGTAATCAATATTGGTCCCCTTTAGGCATAGCCCCATAAAACTTTGTAATCTAAATTATAGTAGTTTGAGGATTTTATAGCCTACCATTAGTTATCAGTATCAGTCCACAGTCCCCATTAAATATAAACATATACAAATGATCTATTAAAAACATTATTGTTTAAACATAATCATCTACTCATATTATATTTAAGGAAGAAACATTTTTTTTTTTCATTTCGCAGAGGTGAGTTTAGGGTGATGTGTAATACACATCACATTGCATTGTTAATACATTACAAATTGCAAAAATCGGTGTAGATTTACATATTTCTCCCATATATTTTTGCGTCTGATTTTATGTAAATGGTGCATATACACGAGATAAAATTGTGGTCAGAGCACTATGTTCTATCTACATGATATTGTATATATTAACATTTCTTGTATGTATCCAAAGTGGTGAAAGGAAAACTGAAAAAGGTCATATACTTTTGAACTTTCCTAACTACTTATATTTACGAATTTGATGTCAATGCTAATGGTAATTGTTTTTTTTTTTTTTTTTTTTTTTTGTAAGAAAATATTTATTTATTTACAAAGTATGCAACACATTTATTCTCAACGTCTGGATATACGCACATTTATGTATAACATTACTTTTTATTGTTCAACATGTGGATGATAACCAGTTGCATCGGCGGTATAAGTAACCTTGATGGGTTTACCCTCCTTGGAGATATATTCGTATTCACCCTTGACGACCCAGTTGTCCTTATCTTGCAAATGACCTTCTTGTTCGGCACGGATCTTGTTGGTCAGTTCTAGGCCATATTTGAAATCTTCCACATTAACTTCAGAGAATTCCTTGACAACTTCGGCTTCTTCGTTGGCATAAGCGAAAGCCAAAAGGCAGGCCAATAAGACAATCTGTCGAGTTGTGATGAGAAGGTAGAATTATGCGAATATTCTCTCTAGTCCTTATTTGATTTTATTTAATACTATACTTACAGTGAATTTCATCTTGGTGATTGCAACTTTTTCGATTGTGAAAAATAACTGATACCTTCTTTGTCCAATAATTCGTGTATTTATAGTCGTTATCGGCCTCTAATTGGCGTCTTTGTTATGTGACACATTATTTGGTGATATTTAGCGCCATAACTGACGACAGGAAACTAGTTAAACCAGAGTTTGTATCGAATCGAATACCTAATTAGATAAGTAGTAGTTGAGTTGATTGTTATCTATCGGACTGCATGGCGAATTATTAATTAGCCGAATAATGCAAATGCAGCAACCGTTATTTTGATTTAGATTTATATTTGATTTAGATTGAGTTTTGTGAATATTCGCTGCGGACGTATCATAAATCATATGATACAATGATATTAAATACAAGGAATTTAGGTAGATAGTTGATATTGAAACTTATACGTGGACCGATATAAATATTTAGGAATGAAGTTTTTGTGATTTTTTGAGTTAAGAGGAAAAATAGTAAACGTACTTATCTGGCTTGAGACGTCGGTCTTGTGCGCAGCTTTTCCAATTTGAAAGACCATGTTTGAGCTGGGGCATCCTCAGACATTCTCACAACATGACCTAGCCACCGTAGTCGCTGCAGCTCGATACGTCTGACTATGTCGATATCCGATAATGGATGGTACAATTCACCCCGAAAAAAGTGTCCTGCAACTAGATTTTCATCCGACAGTTCATCGTAATGTGGAATTTATTAGTGCTAATAAATATAAATTTTTCTGTGATCAATATTGGGGGTACCCATATAAAGGCCTGGGATATTCAAAAATGTTTTAAATTCCTTTACGCAGAGGTTTGCAAACTCATAACTCGCGAAATATGAACATATTGCATATAATTTAAATTCATTTGTATAAAATTAAGTTTTCTTGACAAAATCTTAAAATATTGGTAAAAAATAATATGGTGCGTGGAAGCTGTGATGGTGCTAATGTAAAAAAATAGTTGAAAATGTGTTGAAGCCAACAAGTTTATTTGTGTTCTTTCCTGATGTGTGGCTAAATAACACAACGCACGTACATATGACAGTGACTAAGTTGAAGAATACCTCATGGACAATTGGTCCTAATGTATGGTTTTTCCATATAATCACTGTATCCACCCAAAACGGATGCTGACATTTTGAAACCGGATTCTCAGAGTTTTTAGAACATCAATATCGGTCCTCTTTTTGTGGTAGACCTTATATATCAGTAACCCGCAAAAATTATTTGTATTTTGAACAAGGTTTTCATCGCATTAGCCGTTATTTGATATTTTGCATTCTTTTTAGGAAACAAATAAAAACATTAAGGTAAATCCCCCTTGCTTAATTTGATATTTCCTATTCCTTACTACCAAATGGTACACAGATAGACACATGGGTTCTTTCGAGAATATACATAGAATCATTTTCTGAGCTAATTTATATTCGTCCATATTGAATAATACAAATATTGAATAATACACCATCCAGAATATGTTGGCGATAAGAATAAGCATACCTGTTTTGATAAAAATCGGTCAATATTTAGCGGGTCAATTGGGCCCTGACTTTTTGTGTGAAAAATTACAAAATTTGTTTTATATGGGATATATATTTATCCCTGAAGGAAATATACCCGAGAAGTTGATAGTATATATTTTTCAAAGGTCCGCCATTTTGTTAATTTTAGAGCGAAGTCAATAATCCTAGTTCACACGGGAGCCAGACATGTACTCTTTCTAACACCGTTTGAATTTTCGATTCCGATGTTCCAGTGAGGAGTTATCATGCCCGCCATCAAAAATAAGGACCTTCTTTAATTACAAAAAACAATAACAAAAATTGTTTGTAAATCATTTTTCATCTCTTCTAAATCATCAAATATATATGTTCAAAGTTACAATCCTTAACAAGCATTGGTATTCATATACTCGGATGTGGGAGCTACACTTAAATATTTACAGGTGCTTATGTATTCATATATATACAGTAAGCCGTTACCACACTGGAGGGCAAAAATATAGCGCTGATCGCTTTGAACTGTTCCATGAGGTTCAAGTTGTTGTCAAGGACAATGCCCATAATTTTCGGTGTTGATCAGATAATAATTTTGGGATGAAGTGGTCCAAAAACATATTTTTTGTGTTTATACCCTTCACCACACTGTGGTACACGGTATTATGTCTTTGTGCATATGTTTGTAACAGGCAAAAGGAAACGAGATAGACACATGGTTCCTTTTGAGAATATGCATAGAATCACTTTCTGAGTCGATTTACGCATGTCCGTCTTTCTGTCCGTCCATCCGTCTGTCCATGTTAAATTGTAAACAAAGTACAGGTCGCATTTATGATCCGAATTGGATGAAATTTGGCATAGGTCACTTATTTGGCCCAAGGAAATTGAAATTGAGAAAAATAGGTTTAGATTTAGATATAGCTCCCATATATATTTTCATCCGATTTAATGTAAATTGTGTACTAAAATCCCTATATATCTTTCGATTTGCACGAAATTTGGCACAGCGTACTGACTTAGGTCTAGACTGATGTGTGTTAAGTTTCCTGAAAATCGGTCCAGATTTAGATATAGCTGCCATATATATTTTCGTCCGAAATTTCCTATTGAAATTGAGAAAAATAGGTTCAGATTTAGATAAAGCTCCCATATATATTTTCGTCCGATTTTATGTAAATTGTGCACTAAAGACTCAAAGTTTGTCCGATTGTCACGCAATTTTGTACAATGAACTGTAGTTAATATAAGTTAATCTCTGGCAAGTCTCATTGAAATCGGTTCACATTATATATATATATATATATATATCTATAGGAACTCTATATCTGACCAAATGTTGACCAAAAATCTACAGAAAGTAAGAGTTTTGTGGTACTTGTGAAGGGTATCGTATGGTCGGCCCCGTCCAACTATACTACTCCGCTCACTGATTTTCTTTTTATGGAATTCGATCTATTTACGAGATTTATGAAGTAATGGATCACATTATACAAATGTGTTGAAAAACGCTTATTATTTGGGTGTTTCAACTTGAAAGTTATCCCCAAAACATACACCAAATCGTGTCAAACATTGCTTGCGGAAGTCAAATATCAGGGTTTTATAATGGCCAATACAATTATCTGATCTTCACCCTATGGTAATTTTTTGGAGTCTAGCAAGATACTCCTATAGATAGCAAGGTTAAAACAGATTCAGAAGCAAACAACCATTACCTCATCCCAAAGGTTCAGGATGCGAGGAATAGTATATACAAGGATAATCTTAGGCTGACGTAAATAAAAACTGTCTATTATTAGCAAAATTTACTTATTTATAAAAAAAAAATCAAAAAGTTGCTTTAGTTTTGATTTTTTATTTTAAAATAAATTTTACATTTATTTTTGCAAAATAGTCAGGCTGAATCCTAGTTTGTTGTTTTTGTAAAAAAAAAAACAACTATTTATTAGTAGGGAATGTATGTTGAGTGCAGCAACGTACTCAGGATTTCATTTTGGGGGTCCGGTAGTACAAAATGGAAAAATTCGCTGTTGCAAACATAAATTTACTGTGAAAAAAAATTATTATTATTTGTTGAATGTAACGTATATTACTTTAACCAACTACAATGTTATGTGCATTCGTCACAAAGTGACGACACATAGCAGTGGGAAATGTATTGTAGTTGTCAGCAAATGCCTTGTTGACCAGGCATCAACGAACTTCTCATTGAGTGTGTTAACGTAAGTAATTTGCTCTATCAGAAGAGATATTTGTGTATGAAAGGTTTTTTGTAAAAAAGTAATCTGGGGAGAATATCCCAACAAAAAACTAAGGGAACAATGCCATATATTCCACACTAAAAGTTGTTGTTTTTATAGAAACAACAAACTAGGTTTCAGCCTTGACTATTTGGCGTAAACAAAATACAAATAGTATCCAAAATAACCCGCCAACACTACTGCATATTGTATATATATATTTTCTAAAAAAACGTTAATTTAAAGTTTCTTTTTAAAATAAAGTTACAGGTCATTTATTCAGTTTACAAATTCAGTTGCTTTAGTTTTGGCTAGGGATACATAGTCGAGCGCAAAAGTCACTTTTAGACTTTTCGATTTTTGCCTCTGACCAAAAAGTCGATTTGTAGACTTTTCGATTTTTGCCTTTGACTAAAAAGTCGACTTTTTGGGACACCAAAAATCCAACGTTTGTCCGATTGGGACGAAATTTTGCACATCGTTACCAATGGAGCCTAAGATGAGGAATCGTTTATTCCTGAATTTTACGAGAGCAATCATCAACGGTAACAAATGGGTTAATTCTGAATTTGTATCAAACAAAGATATTGACTGTTTACTGACATTTGATATGCACTTTAATGTTTGTTATAAAATAAGGCACATGTTTTTGAGATTAACAACAAATTTAATGACAACTCTGCTATAAATTAAAAACAATTATGAAGTTATTTTATTAGTTCTACAGAAATATATAGAATTAGCAGATGTATGAATTTGTGCTGGGACCTGTTTTCATATGAAGCAAAATATTAAAAAATATTTTAATAGGTTTTAAATATTCATCTCATAAAACTGTCAACATAAAAATTTTATTTTTTTGTTTATTTATCTGTCGAGATGAGCATAATAATCAAAGAAGCAATGTTCATTCACACACAAAGATCTTAACCAAGAAAACTTAGTGAAAAATACAAAAACAAAGTAGTTCAATTGACCATTGAACGAAAAATCAACTTCGTTTGATCATGAGAATTTATATATTGTAAAAAGGGAACTGCAGTATTATACAACAATTTGAAAAATGTGGATATTTTGCTAAAATTAACACTTTTATGAAAATTTTCAAAGAGATAGTGTACTCGGGGAGTACAAAATGTGTGGAAACCAACAACTTTGTTCCCTTCAAAGTAATCTTCCTTAGATACAGATAATACTTTTATACCAGCGTTTTCCAAACCCTCAAACACTTCTGAAACGCGCTTTTGGGTATAGCAAAAAGCTCTTGATTCGAT